ATGTCTTGTATATGCGCGAGAGTAATTTGACCGAACAAATAGGCGAGTATGACTTATCTTATATTACTGAAAATAATTTACAATCAGAGACAAATCTTTTGCTTTTTAGAAAATCTCGCGCAGATTTCATTACTAGCGCAATGAGCCCAGTATATAATTCTACACACATTAGCCTTATCTTAGCCAAAATTAACGACATTTTACATAAGTTTACTTACATATCAACCGAAGTACGTCAACTCCTGCAAAACAAACAATTTTCTTTCAATCTGCAATTTTTGCTAAACGCGATAAAAACTATCAAGGCAATTACTAATTCAAAGTTGTCAGTACATATGTCAAAAATCAATATCATAACTCTACAACAAATTGCAGAAGTTAACGTAGTCTACTTTCGTAAGAGCATCATTGTCGAAGTAGTTTTTCCCCTTGTCGCAAGCAGCAATACACAGACTTTCAAATTATATTCGCTGCCAGTATTTCAGTATCCTAACAAAACTAACCAAATCGCTAAGTTCATTAGACCACAAAGTGATTACCTGACTGTGACAGAGGGAGAAGCTACCCATGCCTTTGTAAGCAGGAATTTGATTGATAACGAGTGTAAACGTATTTTTTCCTTCTATCTGTGCCCGCGCCCGATTATACGCAAGCCAAACAATAATTCCTGCGAGTTTAACCTGTTAACATCACCGGAAGAGTCAAATCTTGTGTTTTGCCAGCTTGAAACTAGCTCCGAAACTGACTATTATCTTATATCGACGTTACAAAATAATGTTTTGCTATACTCAGTGAATCTCAATACTTCCTTTGATATTAATTGTAACGGCGTAGTACAACCCTTTCCTTTGAATGGTACCGGATTAATACAGATTCCCCAGCCGTGCGAACGTAGAACAAGCCATCATATTTATTTAGGGGCTGAGAAAAAACTAAAGGCGGAAAATTTTGTAATTCCGAAAATCTCTTTGATAACTACAGACAAAATAGTAATGAAAAGCCCAAACACAAATAGTAGTCAGAACAGATACGAGCACTCGGACCGAGCGAAATTATTGCACGTATATTTAACTTTAGGTGTAACCATTGTAATCGTTGTTGTATCCGTAATCGCAGTAAGTTGCATACTTTGGGCATATAGAGTGTGCAGTAACAAAGACCGCGGCTTCGAAAATATACCAATGCAAGAAATTAATTCACCCCTAACTCCTCAAAAAAGAATGATCTGCAAATCTGCACAGACATTACTTGACGGAAAATATTTTAGGCTACCAATCAACTACGACACTCCTCACTCCCCACCCGTGGCCGTGCAAGTGGTCCCACTTCAAAAATCCGAAACGACAGACACTCCTCCAACTCTTCCCACTCTCTAAAATAAAAAAGGTATAAAAACGCTAATATACCCCCCTGTCGTATCAGACACTCCATAAAACTAGCACGATGAAACGCACGGCAACTACCACACTCGGCCCGCCATGCAAGAGGGTTAATCGATCCTGGACGAGGGAACAGATATGCAACAGTCGGACGTCGGCAGCAACAATGGGACGACTATATGCAAGATGGGAGAACCGGAAGGCCCAGACGAGCATGCAGCATCCCGAACTGCCGCTATTAGACGATGATGGAGGCTGGAACTACCACGAGCTGACCCAGTATATTTTCCAGGAGGCTCATCACGGATACCTGCACTTAAGGTTCCTCTTCGAGGAAACCTATGGAGGAGAGGGATTCGGACGAGCACCTTTTAATCCATGCAGTGTGTGCGGGCAAGATACCGCACATTGGCAGGGATGCTTCTTCTGCCGAGCAAGCATCGCAGCCGGTTCGAAGGATCAACAACTAGCCATGGAGGCCGAATGTGTCCGCCCGGAGCATTTTATGCTCAGTAATGCCCCCTGTGCCAAATGCATTGGCAAGGAGTTTTAATGTAGGTTCCAGAGGAGCTTGCAGATTCATCGTTTGTAGTTGCTGTAATCCTATCCCCAGTCCTTCCTATTCTTAGAATAATAATGATAGTTACAAAAAAAAACAACAATATTAAAAAAAAAAAAAAAAAAAAAACATAAAAAAATATTAATAAATATATATATATGTAAAGTATATATAACAAAATACAAAAAAACACAAAGATATATATATGCATGTAAAATATATATAACAAAACGCAAAAAAAACACACACATACAAAAATAATATACATGTGTAAAACACCAAAAAATCTTGACAAATATGTAGAATGATAAGACATAAAAAAAAACAAAAAGTATACTCATACCAAAAATTGCAGTAGCGTTCGGAGAACGCTAGTCCCTTGCTCTATCAGCAAAGGACTCCGAGGGGTGGGCATGTCACGTCGATACGAAAGAAAAAGTACGTGACAAATTATAAGTTATGGTAACAAACCGGGTATCGATACCCTGCTATAAAAGTTCCATTGAAAACCATTGAAGAATTTCTGAATGGTTTTCAATCTTCGATCTGAACACTCCAAATGACCATTGAATATGATTCCTCATCCAACAAGAAATGTCAAGATATTAAATACTATTGGTTCCAATAATATAGATTACTATTGATTCCTAATCGAGATTAATCATTATCAATAGAAAAATATACTATTAAAGTAATGGTTTTCAATAGGATTCAATGAAATTTCTCATGTATGTTACCCAATCGATTTCAATGGTAAAATTCGTGGTCAAATCGAAGATTTGAAACCATTCGAATGCGATAATCAATTTGATTGAATTGATATCAATGGTTTGTTATTGCAACATTCAAGTCTCGTATCGTTGAATAATTTTCAATAGTTTTGAATATGAAAGTCCTAACATTTCAATAATATGCAATAGAAAATATCAATCTAATTGAATGGGTATTAATGGTCTTTTATCGCATGATCAACTTTTTTTCTGACGTTGAATAATTTTGAATAGTTTTTAATATGAAGATCACATCAATCCATTTATTTACAATTGAAAAAAAATTGAATAACCATTAAAAATTATATTCGAATATGTTTTTACTTAAAAACTATTAAAATTGATAAAAGTCTATTCAATCAAATCATATACGGAGTTTTTTCATTCATGACCTATATAAAATTATAATATCCAAAGCATAAGATACGATTCTTCAATTATAGTATCGAACAACTATTCAAATTTATAAAAAATCATTCAATTATGGAAATTTTTTCTTTCATCATCTAATGAAAAATTATAGAATAAAATTATATTTGATAAGTTTGTAGAATGAAGGATTATTCAAAACTATACAAACAACTTCTCAATAGAATACGATTGAGTTTTACTTGCATTTACCAATCATTAGATTTCATTAAAAAATATTCAATTGAAAATATTTGAAATTTTTTTTGTTTGCCTTTCATAAGAAATTATAGAATACTATACCTCATTGAATGCGATTGGGTTATTTTTATATTGACCAATCATTAAGATTAAAAAAAAAACTATTAAATGAAATATTGCTAAAGTTACAGTATTGCTTTTGCTCATATTGGCATATATGGAAAACCATTCTATAAAATATTATTGACCAACCGTGTAATTGGATAAAAATTAATATCCATATAATATGATTCAATAAAATATGATTGGACAATTATTGTATCGAAAAATTATTAAAATTCATAGAAAGATATACAATAAAATATCATTGATTAATTATTTTATTGAACTGTGATTGATATTCATTCAATGCAATTGGATAGATTATCATTGAAACCATTCCTATACAAAGTATTATTCAGAAAGATTGAATTCTATTAAATTTAATGGTAAGTTTTACTATTAGTTATGCTTACCATGAAGTATTATTGAAAATCATTCAGTTTCAATCGTCATCGGAACATTGAACCATTCAGTTCATTGATTACCATTGAATATGAATGATTCCGAATAGGAATGAATGGAACTTTTTTAGCAGGGTAATTTAGTTTTCTATTATACCAACCCTCCCGGGAAGATTTGTAAATCTATCTAGCGGGATAGATTAGTCTAAGCACGTTTCCATAATATTTCCGCGAATATTACTCACCGCATATTAAATTAGCGAAAACACAGGAAGGGGCATCTCAGCCTACGGTATAAAAAGGCTGGATTGGAATTCGCACACGCAGTATACAGTATACAGTACGTAGTACACAGTTGACTATTCAGCAGTTTGGTAGTTTCGCAAAGTTATTTTTTAAGTCTAACTATCCGGCTACTTAGAACCGGGATTATACTCTGTTAAGTACTATAATTAACTTTAAACAATAAATCTTAAATCAAGCGCAAATACCTGAGACTGTTCGTAAAAAACCTCTTCTGAAATCCATTCCTAATAAGGTAAGAAACTATTTTATCTGCTTAAAACGCCCTACGTATAATAAAGGCGCTATCCCTTTAACCAACCTCTGCTTAACTCCTAACTAAGATCCAACCTTTACCAACGCGACATTACTTGAATATATTATTACGTCTGGCTGTAACATCTCCTCGCCTAGACATAACATTTTTATCTAACCAATAGATTTTGGTTTAAATCAATGTAGTGAAATGAAATCTGAAGATGTGATGACTCGTGGCCAACGTACACGTTTTTTTTTGCAACAATGTTCCATTCGAGGTGCATGCACGAAACAATGTCATAATAACCTTTTTAAATACGAAAGAGTATTATTTTATTTTAATTAATTAATTGATGAACTTTTTAATAATTTTATGTTGGGTGCCAATAATGCGTGAGACGCACTAACGACTGGTATATCGTAAAAAATTATTTTCACGATATAAACCACTATATTTGGAAAATCAAATTTAGGTGCTAGCGTCAGCATCTTTTATTGTTTTTATCTGTTTTCTGCATAAAGAAAATGAGCATAATTGACGCACAAACGACATGTGATAAATTAATATCTGCCCAATCGAATGGTGTAATTAGTTTATGGATTTGTTGAATATTTGAATTGTTTGATGCTAACTTTTAAGACCTAGGATATAGGCCTCAAATGAACCTGCATTGTAAGTGGTTAATATAATCATGCAGTAATTAAATTTCAAATAAATATTTAAATATCTATATTAAAGAGTAAGATAACTTAATATCAAACACAGTACTATTATTTAATTAACTAACATTTCAAATAACTATAACATATTTAGATTATTGCTTCCTTAAGTACAGTTTAATTATATTAATATATAATTTATAATTTATTATTCTGCACTGTCTTAACAGGATGGTGGATTCCCTTGAAATGACAGTAGAACCCAGTGACTCTCAAAGTTCTAACACTATAGATTTTCATCATTTTGTCAACTATTTACAAAAATCTATATGTGTCTTACATCCAGAAGAAGAAGAAGTTCCATCAGCTTTTCTACAAGTTCTTGATGATAAAATCTATCAAGATTGCATTCGAAAATTTATAAATGATCCTCAAGTTTGGGCTCTATGTATTCAAAGAATATCTAGTAAAGGTAATATTTTATATCTAATGTTAAACTGTGAAATCAAATTTTGATAATGTTCGAAAAAATAATTTTTGATTATAATTAAAAATTATATTAAATTCATATATTATGAAATAATTTACATTAATTAAAGAATATTTGTATAATTCTTAAATGTTTCTAGGCAAACAAATAATATATATTAATATTACAGTGACTAGATTAGTTAAATTTTATCAATATCAATGATTAGATTAGTTATTTCAATAATATACATTTTTTTTTCTGTTCAAAATTTTACCAAAGCATTATTTATTATTTCAGTCATTTGGTGTTATACATTAAAAATTGAAAATTCTTTTGTATTCAATTATATGTGAAATGGACGTAAAATATTTTATTTTGGAAGTCTCAAAAGTAGCCTTCTTTTATAATACTTTGCTTTTCATATTTTATTTTGTACATATAAAATTCAAAACTCATTTTCTTAAATAAGTAAGCAATTATGATAATACTTGATCATAATATCACAAAATCAATGAATGAAGTTTTAATTATTTAAAGATTTGTTAGAAAGTCTTCAAAACATTTCAAAATATAGCAAAAAATATAAAAAACAGTAATTTGATATAATCATACTATATATTTTTTATGATATAAATAATAGACTATGTTAGATATTCTACAATCCTACTCTATTCTCTATTTAAAAAAAATAATCAGTTGCAAATAGAAAACCCATATTCTATTACATTTAACAAAAAGCTTTATAGTTTCATTTCAAGTTCCATGACTTAAATAGGAAGGAGTTGTATGAAATATATTTCTAGGATCATGATTTTAATTCCAAATGGTTCATAACCATGATATGTTGTAGTATTTTGTCATAGTAACCTTAAAAAAGTATATTAAAGCATATTAACCTTCTTGTGATTGTGTTTCCATATTTCACGATGCATGATTTAATAAAGGTAAAAACTAAATATTTTATGAATTTTCTTACCTTTCATTAATTCTGTTGTTGAGATTCAGTTAAATGATATGAAAGATATTTACAATTTTTCTGCTATTAGTAAATAACAAACATTGGTCTTAAATTTTTCCCAGATCATCTAGGTTTGTTAATGCAGAACATAATATCTACTCTAATATATATAACTATCTCTAAACAATATCTACAATTTCTTTTCACTAGAAATCAATATGTGCACTTTCTAAATTGTACACTTATATTTCTTATACTTTGAATGATGCGATGTTGTATAGAAAACTTGGAACTTGGAAACAATTGCAATAAATGATGTTTTATTAAGCTCTCAACATTAATTTTTTTTAATTTTATTCATCATTTCTAAACAATTCTTTGTAAATATAATTTTTTAATTTTAATTGACATATTGCATTACCAAGATATATATTTTAATAGAGTCTTATGATTTGGCTAGAAAAAATACGACATATGATTGTCCATAACTGGAAACATACTTACAAAAATCAATAACTACCTTTTGGAAAGTTTGGTGATCTTTGTTAATAGTCATAGCAAATGCTAGTTTAACTGGGGATTATTGTTGTTTTAAAAGCAAATAGACAGTTGTTTTGATAAATTCAAATTCATCTCATTGAAAAATACAATTTAACCAGTTTGATCATAAATTACAATTTTGCATTTTAATAAGTGAATCATCAATATTTGGTCAGTTCTGTTACAGTGCCTTGATTAATATTTACATTATTTTACAATGAATGTTGTAAGGGGATAAGGATGGTGGGCACAATGAACTGAAGTATTCATTGCATCTAATTCACCATTACTATTATTTATTATACTATCATTACAATATATAAATGTTCATTCGCATTATTGAGTAAGTCAGTAATTTGTTAATTAATATTGTCTACTTTTTCATTCTTAACTGGTAAGATTGCACAATTACTCATTTGATTAAATTTCTTTTTGCATTTGAGTTCGCTAAAAATACTATCAACAATGCTTATAGTAAAAACATATATTCCCATTCCTGAACATTAGGAAATACCTAATATTCAGGATTATTTATGTTATCTTTTCTCTCATTCAATATACCATTTCCAACATCTACTAAAAAATTAGAAAATTCCATTTCGTTTGTAAAGCGTCCATATCAATAATTAATTTATATTTTTATTATTTTATCTATAATGGAGTATATTTTGTAAATAGATTTAGAATTTCATTTTAAGTTCCTCTTACTTTAATAAGTATTTAATTGGTAAAATTTGTTAAAAACACTCCTAAAATCATTATTTTTTCACCAGATGGTAAATTGTTTCCATGACATGTTGCAATATCTTATTTGTGATATTTAATGCATGTCTAGGTACTATTGCAGCTTCATCCTAAATAAATACTTGTATTTTCCTTAATTGATTGATTTTGTTATGTTATACTTTGATATTTGAATTATAATTTTTAAACATTAGAACAGGTAAATCAAAAACTTTATTAACTGTTTTCCCATTTGAAAGTAGAGTTGTGGTATAACCAGTAAAAGCCATTATGTACGAGGTGTGTTCAAAAAGTAAGGTGACTTTTCAAATTTCACGGGCAACGTACTTTCGATTATTGATTTTTTTGTTTTGTTATGTTGGTACACTCTTCTCGAACATCTGTACCAAGTTTCAAGTGTATAGCATTTTTTGTTTGGTTGTGAGAGGCGTAAAGGTTATAAGTGTTTTGCGTGTTCGGCGATTTCTTACTATCGAAAAATATGGATCAAAGGATTTGCATCAAATTTTGTGTAAAATATAAAATAAAGTGCTCCGAAACACTTGAAATGTTGACGGTAGCATACGGTGAAACTGTTCTGAGTAAAAAAAATGTTTACAAGTGGTACAAACTCTTCTAAGATGGCCGGGAAGATGCCAATGACGAGCCTCGCTCTGGACGCCCAAGCACGTCAACAACTGATGAAAACGTTCAAGCAATGAAGAAAATTATTCTGGAAAATCGTCGAATCACTATCAGAGAAGTTGCTGAGGATGTTGGTATATCGCTTGGCTCGTGCCATGAAATTTTTTCTAACGTTTTGGGCGTGAGACGTGTGTCAGCGAAGTTTGTTCCGAAATTGCTAAATTTTGACCAAAAGAACCGTCGCATGAGCATCGCTCAAGAACTGTTGAATGACGTCAACGACGACCCAGATTTACTCAAAAGGGTCATAACTGGTGACGAATCATGGGTATATGGTTATGATATCGAAACCAAAGTCCAATCGTCCCAATGGAAGAGTCCAGATGAGCCAAGACCGAATAAAGCACGCCAAGTTCGATCAAATGTCAAAGTTTTACTCACTGTTTTCTTCGATTACCATGGCGTGGTACATCAGGACTTCTTACCATATGGATGTACGGTCAATAAACAGTATTATCTTGAAGTTATGCGTCGTTTGCGAGAAGCAATACGAAGAAAACGCCCAGAATTGTGGAAAAACAATTCATGGCTTTTGCATCACGATAATGTCCCTGCTCACTCATCTTTGCTTGTGAGAGATTTTTTGGCCAAAAACAACACCACAATCATGCCTCAGCCACCATATTCACCGGATTTGGCCCCATGTGACTTTTTCTTGTTCCCAAAACTAAAGAGACCTATGAAAGGACGGAGATTTGCAACGATTGAAGAGATAAAGACTGCATCGCTGGAAGAGCTCAAGGCTATACCGAAAAATGCTTATGAGAAGTGCTTTGAGGATTGGAAAAACCGTTGGTATAAGTGTATTTTATCTGAGGGGGATTACTTTGAAGGGGACAACATAAATATTGATAAATAAATAAATATTTTTTCTTAAAAATACAAAGTCACCTTAATTTTTGAACATACCTCGTATACAGATGAATCACCATTCGTTACAAAGTTATGTGCCAACACACTATACCTTCATTTGTCCAGTAAGAGGACATCTTTTAGATATTAATTTAAATAGAAACTGTGAATTAGGGATGTTATATACCATTGCGACATAGTATTAAAAAAACAACGTATAACTGATTGGAATTATATAACAATGGATGGTTCATGGATATTCTCAGCTATCGACAAGATACGGTTCGAATCGTTTGCCCGAATTGAATGGACCAAATAACCAAAATACAAGGGGTAGGAATACTTAAAATTGCCCCGGGTGCATCGGATATATAAGGATGCAATTTTGCTAACAGAAGCGAGCAAAGATAATACGAATGTTTGCCTATACCAACTAAACTTAATCCTCAATCTGACAAACCTCTACCCGACGTTAACCTATTTATTTGAAACAGATATAAAACTAGAAGAATGGACTCACAAACTGAAACTTGGACCAGTCAAGAAAAGACATTAAACGATATTATGGAAAAGACAGAAATTCACCTTACTTTTTGAACACACCTCGTATAAATAAAACTTGCTTAAGCAACGTCGATGATAAAAAACATTTGCCTGAGTGTAATATTCATCGTTCTTGTCTTTTAAATTACATACACTCCACGATATCATTACATTAATTTCATTTTCTTGATACGTTTTAAGCTGCGCTATAATACTATCTATAGTACGCTGCTGTAATACACGAGATTATCTGTTCACATAAAATTTTTGCGAACAGAATAAACAATACGTAGAAAAATCAAATTGAAGCCCTTCCTCTTTACGTTTTCTACCTACTTTAACAATTTTTAGTGCATTTTTTTGAGCAATTTTCAGTGCCGCTTTTATATTCGATCCCCTAACATACATTGTTTGACAAACTCTATGTACAGTAATTTCTTGGACTTTATCCAAATCTACATGTTTATTGTCCTTTCTTCGACGGCTAACGCTTGCTAATTTCTCAATACCCCGTTGTTTAACTATACAAGACTTATTAGAATTGAGTACCTTATCACATAGTATGCAAAAGTTTACATCGTTTTCGCCTGGCTGTTTATCGATGTCTTCTAGAGCTGGAATTTCAACGTCATTGTCTTCCTCTGATAAATGTCCTGCTATGTTATGGAAGTCGTCTTGC